ACATCTTCGAAACTGAGCCGCCAGAGATTTATTCGACCGATCTTGATTTCTGTTTGATACTTGGCCACAATAAGCCATGATAACAGTCTGGGAAAGCCTCTGTTTGGAAAAGGAGTTTAAAATTAGGTTTCTGTAACAAATAATAATTAATGGCATGTGACTTGTCTATTTATCTACTTTTTTCCCATTTTTTTGTTGCATGGCATTATTTCCTCTCTAATGTATATATATACATATATATAGGCTTTGATAAGTTAAGCTATGGATTTCTGCTAAGATATGTATAAAATGTATTTAATAGGGTAAATACAATTTTAGATGCCATGTATGTGCAAATAAGCTTGATCCTGTTGCTGAAGTCTAAAGAAAAGGAATTAAACATAGCTACAGACATAATACTGAGCAGTAAGACAATAACTAAGCTAAAACTACTGATATAAAAGCAAATGATGTGAAACAGCCTATACCAATATTGTATGGAGAAAGGCATCTTTCACTAGTTATAAAACTTGTTTACTGTCCTGTCTACATATAATGCTGACCATGAGATGCTTCAAAACTTTAAACTCCATTTATGAAAATTAAATTTTGTTGACATATAAATCGAAGAGAAATTAATTTGTTATAAATAGTGTTTCTGTCCCCACTCCATTCCCTTTCACATTTTTTTTAATAAAAAGATAAGATGGTGCATCACAAAAAGGAGATAAAATATGACTATACTCTAGAAAGATGTAATAAACTAATTTTTCCTCATATCATGATAATTTTTTAAAAGATGCAAACAGAACAGTGCTAATTATGAAAGCAGAACTATGTGAAACAAAGTACTACAGTTTTTTTATTGTAAATCTAAAGCCATTTACCAAAACTAACAAGAGAAATATATCACAATGAAATCAAATCAAACCTGGAATATGCAAAGCACACACATTTCCTACACTTACATAGCTTAATGGGCATCAATTGAAGAGTGGAGCAGCATGAAGACCTGCCCTTTTAGCTTTCTATACTATAATGTAGTTTTCAGTTTGTCCATTAACTGTATGCAGAATTCTAGTGAGCTTAGTCTAAATAACACATGCAGAACCCTAAAAGAAATATTTTATCTTTTGAAAACATTATGCAGTGGCTGGAAATTGTGCTAAAAATGTAGCCAAAAATAATTAGAAAGAAATATTTCCCCCGAACCCTTCTTTACCTAAATTCACTTGTAGCTACAAGTATACCTTAAATTCAAACACCATCAATATTTGACACAATATTTCCCTGGATAAATCATATATCACACAAACAGCAAATTAAATATCGCTGATGAAAGGAACCATTTAACCCTTTATTTACCAAGCCACATCCCCATAACCCCATTCGCATCAAGATAGAAGAGTTAGGGTTGCCAGTCAAGGTGGACGGTCATTTTAAAAGTCTGCCACTAAATCAAGGTTTGGAATGAGGTCTGTCACTTAAATATGGCTCAGACTTATTAGTCATATCCTTATGATGGCTTCCAGCAGTTACTTTTAAAACATCTGTAAGTATATCATAACATTTATTCTGCCTATAAAGATTATGCGGCTATATTCTAAAGGCTACAACAGGGAAGAGAAAACAATTGTAGACCACTGAATGCAAATACCCTAATTTTCTTCCCAGTCCCTATATGGTGTTTGGATTGGAGGTATGCATATAACTACAAATGAAATTTTGTAAAGAAGCGATTAAGCTAGCAGTTTTATATAAATAACCTACGCACTATGAGGATTCTTTCTGAAACAGGTAAAAATGATTATCTTTTATTCAAAGCTCTTTAATCAGTGGCAGGAAATGCAACACACCAGGGACCTCTGGAGTTGCTGAAGGGCTTATCATGTTTATGATATCATGCTTTTTGAACAATTCATAGATAAGACAAATTAACCACGGAGACTCAGTACATAAAATTTATCTTAGTACTGTGAATGTCCAAATACCTAACCCATATTAGGCCAAAATGTTCTGAAATAGTTTAAGCTCCTTGCATTCATTACTAGGATCTGGGATATGGGGACCCTCCAGACATGGCAAGCCACACCCAAGCAAACCTGAAATAACACCCCTAACATAGCTTCATTCATCCATTTTTATTTTCAAAGCAAACGGATATATTTACAAAGTTTTTGTAATGGTGGCCATGGAGAATTTGAAGAAATTGAAAAATTGTGTTTAGTCATGCACTAAATTTTTAATTTCCAATCAGCAAAGATTAAAAATATCTGAAAACTATTTTTACGTTCATCTTCATTTGAAAATATCTACACTGAAATTTATAATTGTCCTAAATAAAATGTAAAAAAAAAAAAAAAAAAAAGTCATATAAATTACTGAAAAAATATATCACCTTCATAAAATAATCATTTCATCACTTCTCATTTTACTTGAAATTGTGATTCTTAAATGAAATAATCATTCAAAATAATCAAACGGCCACCTACGAAGCAACGAGAAATACAAATGCATATTCCACACAACCATCACAAACAAAATCGGTAAAAAAAAAAAAAAAAACATTAGAAAATACAAAAAACTATGGAAGAAAAGGAATAACTTGTCCTCACCTTGTTATGAGGTAATACACTAAGATTATGAGGAAGACCAGAGTTGAAGACATGACTGCTTACATCTTGCACTTGGGAGCTCACACCTGTCACTTTCGCCTTATCAGAACACACCTGTTTGTTGTGGTTTCGGAACAGAGCGGAAACCTAGCAAGAATGCGCTACGAGGAGAAAAAGGTGCTAGAAAAGAGCGAAGATTATTTAGCACAATGGAAGTCTAGCGGAATATCGTATTTGGACTTCTTAATATGTAAATGTGTGTGTGTAAGTGTCCATGCATTATACTGAACTTGCATTTTCCAATTATACATACGTATATACATACATGTCTATATGGATACATATTTAAACATATATATATATATATATATATATATATATATATATATATTATATATATATATATATATATATATATATATATATATATATATATATAATATATATATATATATATATACACATATACATATATATGCATGTATGTATGTATATGTATGGATTATATATGTGCACACATACACACACATATATATGCATATATATTATAGCATATATATGTGTGTATATATATATACATATATATATACATATATATGTATTTATATATATGTATATATATGTATATATATATAATATGTATATATATGTATATATATACATATATATATAATATATGTATATATACACACACACACACACACACACACACACACACATATAATATATATATATATATATATATATATATATATATATATATATTGTGTGTGTGTGTGTGTGTGTGTGTATGTGCGTATTTGTAAATATGTTTATATATCATATATGTGTATATATATATATTATATATACACATATATTTATGTGTGTGTGTGTGTGTACATACAAACCAGTAATGTTTATGCAGTAAAATCTCATTTTCCGATGCCGATCATTGGTCATGATAAACAAGAAGAGATGCTAAGTTTGAGTGAAATGGCAACCGGCGAATCTGTCTGTTACGTAAGCAACACATATGGAAACATTCCTCTGAAACAAATAACGTGCTTTCCAGGTTTTCAGCTTTACAAGAACATAGTCTACAATAAAGCAGCATTGTCTATCAGTGTAGTCATGCTGTGTTCAGCCCGTGGCAGTAAACAATTCGTTAATGAAATTACAGAATATGGTAATGGCTTATCATATATATGATGACAGTATGTATACCTTGTAATACCAGATGGTTAATACTGCATGCTTGTATTGCACTAAATCATGTTTGTTTAATTAGAGAATAAAGCGAGCAAAAGGCCTCCCCGGCGGGGAATCGAACCCCGGTCTCCCGCGTGACAGGCGGGGATACTAACCACTATACTACCGAGGAATCGGCTGGAGGAAGGTAAAACCAATTTCACCTGTATTTACCTGTTTGTTTTCACTTCACATTTGAATGATTATTAGAATGACCATTACAATCAGCTTTATTTTTTCTTGACAGGATTATGATAATATAATAGGACACACTTTTTTGGCAAAAGCTCTTTTTTTAATAGTACAATAATCAAATATAAAAAACCGGTAAATAATTCTGACGGTATACCTTCTCCAATACAATTTCGTTTATCTTTCATCTGGATCTTTCTACAGCCACTGTTACTCTTACTTTCACATTTGCCGTGGCTTAGTGATGCTCTAATACCTGCTTTATTTAATTTGAGATTGATATTGTTCATTGAGGTTCTTTACCACATTGGCAAGACATGTACTGTACCTGTATCTTTTAGATTTTATCTTACGGGTTATTTTTCCCATACATCTCTCACTTGGCAAACTGCTTATCACACTTTTTTTGCGAGTCAACAATCACACTCGAGTCACTCCTTTCTATTAAAGCTATTGATCTACACTTTGATCACACTGATCTGTTGCTTTACTCCCCTCACTCATTATAGCAGTACTATGGCCCTTGGTAATTACAATAATACTACTGCCCTCGATGGTTACAATAGTACTATCGTTTGGTTGACCCTCTGCCGTATTTTCGAAAATGCGGTTTCTAAGGCTTTTGCCTAATTCACCGCGCTGTATAAGGCGATGTGGTCTGGTGTCTGTGATGTGATTGACAAGATGGAAGTAGTATCAAACATCACTTATGAATGTTATGTTAGGCAAAAAGGAGTAAAAGGCTTTCATGTCTGCTACAAAAAAGTAAGCATTGAATAATCGAGATTATTAGATCTATCCACTGACCAAATCAATCATTTGTAGCCCGTAACCAGTCGGTAAGATTAAGGATATAAATAACAGAAACAAAAGGTGCCAGCAGTCTCATTCACGAACTGAAAATTCCGTCTCGAAACTTGTCATATGGAGGTAATTACAACAAGATATCATCTAGTTGTTCCAGTGTATAAAAGGCATCACTAATAGAGGACTGACATGATATGAATGACAAGCCTGAACTGATCTTCCCATTAGATTGTGTCAACAGCACTTTAATAAGGAATGCCTTGGAAAAGACAACAGAGTTTGGAAAGGGGCTATGCAGCAGTACCACGGGAAAAAACGAGCAAAATTTATTCATGAAATATTATACGCACTGTATAAGGATAGAATTAAGTTGACACAAATTTGTTTTATTTTTTATTATAATACATGTCAAAAATAGTGTATAGAACGCCAACTTTATCAGATTTTTATAGCTGTCTTGATCTTCGCATCTGAAACAGATTAAACCATATATATACAGGATATTTGGGTAACAATTCTACCTCGTCATCACACGAGAACTCTTTTTTCTCGAACCGTGCAGAAGACACGCTGGCGGTAAAGACTAGATTTTTTTTTTTTTTTATAAGATTTATACATATGATGTCTGTCGGAATTGGGGGGAACACACTGCATTTTCTGACCCGAAACATGAAACAGAAGTACTGAAAATGTTGCCTCATCAATCGCAAAAGTCTTTTGCAGCTGAACCTGAGTTTCTGCAAACTGAGGGAGACCAATCGTGATGATGCCTTCAAGGGAGAAGAATCGCTTCGCCGACTCCAGATGCTTAATTGCATCGATAGGTGTGTACTGTTTGAGTATGATGGAGGTGCCGTGTCTTTCTGGGGACACCCAGGACCCAGCATTTTAGTGGTGTAATGGACTGAATCTGAGAAGACTTATTTATAACTATACTCTGTATGTAATAGGAAAATAGCTTTAGACCCAAAAGACGATGGAAACTGTTACCATTGCAACTGTTTGAGGAAGTTTCTAACTTCACCCAGCCAGGTTGTATGCAAACATCTTATACCAATAGAATATCTTACCGACACTCATGGGAGTGGCAACTACCCTCACAATTGCTGATTTCTCTCACCTCATGGTATTCATCTCTCATCGTTGGTCCTCATCACCATGGTCTAAGTACTTATATAGACCTTGCTCATCACTCTCATCGTTGGTACTGGTATCACATACATATACACAGTGGCAACTACATCCGCATTACTTTGTTGATTGCAGTTTTTTTACTTTTCCTGCGTCTGTGTAACCATGTTGAAATAATACATTCATCACTGGGTAGCCGATGAAAGTTTAAGCTGTATTTTGGTTTGGTATGAGGAAGCTTTTGTAAAGAACCTTTAGTTTTGGTGACATGCATGTGTTTCCAAACTGCGATGAAGATATAAAAATTCAGTCAGGGGTTAATTTGTCTTCCTGATTGATTTTTATAACGCTGTTTGATAACATTTACGTCACTTGAAAGCGATATTGACAAAGACAGGTCAGAGGATTTCTTTGTAAATCATTGTGTAGAGGTTGTTTTCAACAATATTTTTATCGCTGCAATATGACTGCAGTGGTGACGAAAATAAACGATGTATTGTGTGTCACCTCTTTTGTAACATTAAAACAACAGAATGCACGCAGTATTAATTGGAAGGCTGCGTTCTATTCATTTCCCGGCTGCTGAATAACAGGGGGTATTGCAGTTCACTTGATATATTTCTCATATAGGGACTGAGAATGTTCTATTACAACTGCTTCCTATACATGAAATAAGCTCTACACTGCTGAAAATAAATGTTTCAAAATGCAACAAAGCAATACGCAAATACTACACACACACACACACACACACACACAACACACACACACACACACACACACACACACACACACAAAACACACACACACACACACACACACACACAAACACACACACATATGTATATATATATGTATCTATATATGTGTTTATATATACATATATATGTATATATATATATATATATAAACATATACATACATGTGTGTATTCATAGTATTGTTTTATATATATACATATACTACATACACACACACACACACAACACAACACACAACACAACACACAATTTTG